ACTAAATTAACAAAATTATTTTTAAAATAATGCCGTTGACATATCATTTTTTTTTAGTATATTATCTTTTAATTTATCTTTCAAGCAGAATGAAAAATACGCTGAACTGACAGTTTGCGGGATTAATTACAGTGGGTGTATATTATAGATAAAATATTTTTTATATCATTTATTTTTAACATTTTAAAGAATGTTCCCGCGTGATTTACTTTGAAGCTTAAAAAACAGTTAAGACACAGTAATTTATTAAGGTACTTTATGCAAGAGGATTTTGCAAAAAGATTTTAACAAGCGTAAATCGCGAGTAATAGTAAAACTTTTTATTATCAATTGAATTTTATAACTTTTTGTTTTTATTATCTTTGCCATTTTCTTTTCTTCTTTTGCGACAAATTTATCTTTTCTCTAAAAGTCATAGAATATTTATTTTATTTCTTTTAATGTGCAAATTTATATATTTATGATTATATGTGTATGTTTTGATTTGCTGAATAATAAATTTAGTGTCGCAAATTTTGTCTCGCGACAAAAGTAAGGCACGGTACATAATAAGAGAGTTACAGTTAACAGTTAGAGTACAAGTTAACAGTCTAAGTAGCAATGTAATTGCAAGCAGCTGCAATATTTTATTGTCGACTTTACTGAAATTTTTACGATCTTTAGTCGACCTCGGCTCGATGAAAGTACCTCACAAAAACCTCTCTCTTAAGGGATCAAATTGTTTGCCATAATAAGGGTCGGTTTACGAGCACTCTTGATTCTTAATAAGCTGTTCAGAGCTTTATTTAGCTATGAATTTCTTTCGCTTTGCTTTACCTTGCATTTTTTTCTTAAAGTTCAAAGTTAGCAATTTCGGTTTATTTTTCGGACAAAGATTACAGAAATTTTGTATGCATAAAATAATTATTTTTATCATATTGCACTTTTTCGCAATATTAAAAATTTTACAAGAATAACTTTTCATAGATTAACATTCAGCAGTAGCGACAATAAAATAACAAAATATCGTAGAATTACACAAGTATCTCTTTTACAGAATATAATTAGAATGTAATTACATATAATAGCTTGATAGCTTCCACGAGTTAATTTGATTCTATGTGATAGTACTCGAAATGCTTCCTGCAAACGTGACTTTCTCGCTGCAGCTCGTTAATTAATTATGTTGTAAAATCGTGCGTGATTCTTTCTGACAGTTGCATTACGTAGCTTAACGAGAGTATCTTTTATTAATTATAAAACGACATCTTTCATTCCGCATGGCGTACAATTCGAGTTATCTAAAAGCGTAAACTTTCCACTGAGCCTTTAACGTTATATCGGAGTCGTCGTATGTATTGCGCGCGGCGGTGCGAAAAGCAATTACGGTCCATTTTGTGGGACTTGGCGTGTACCTGACCAATGAAATGACATTACTCTCCCGAACGTGAAAATAACAAGCCGAATGAATTATTAATGCGCTGACTCCGAGGTGCGCAACGCGGATTCTAACAGAAACCATATTTGAAAGAGATTGTGATATGCGATCCACTTTGTCCACATTATCAGCTTTCGCTAGCCTATTTTAGGCAACCAAATTACTTAATTTAATCTATCCTGAGCATATTTTCCATAATGATTGAAACCGCATATTATTATCTCTAGATAATTGTATTTTTGCGGTTTTATTTATTAAAAAGGTAATGAAAAATGGCTACATCAAAATAATATTTTTCAATATTTTAATAAGAGGATATATTTGAAATGCCTTTGCTATATATAGCAATTTTTTTAACAATAAAAATTTATTATAGACTATGAACAGAGAGAGAGAGAGAGAGAGAGAGAGAGAGAGAGAGAGAGAGAGAGAGAGAGAGAACTATATGAAACTACATAATTAACTACATAATTAACTTTATTGTTTCACGTCAGCAATTTATTTAGAATGACCTTTATAATTACTAGTGCAAATATTGTGATGCAAATATTATTGGCTCTTTATTAATATCGATTGATCAGCTTTAGTTGTACAGATTATGTTTGCACGATACTTTTAATCGGGTTTAATAACATCTGTATTTATGAAATTGGCCAATCATAGCTATTTCTGTGAAGAATGGAATCACTGTGATTGGACAGTTTCATAACTACGATGTAATTAAACTCAATTAAGAGTGCTATGTAATCATAGTCATAGATCTGTTTACATTCGTCAATCATGGAAATGGTTCCCTTTAAAAATTCATTAGGTTCTACGGTGACGGCGGAAAGCGACGAAACGCGGTCTCGATACGTTCGTAATTACGCGGAATTCTGAGTTCTCGACGTGATATAACTTAAATAGAGCGCGACAAGAGGGAATCCAGGCGGGAAACTTGATGGATGGGAACGTCCAGAGATGCAGTAAGACGAAAATTCTTCTTCTTTCCACGAGACTTCACAACAAGTAGGGTCGACATCTAGCACGATGTTCTCTTTAGCTTTTTCCGCGTAGCGTTGATTTATTTTCTTATCTCTTATCAAGGCAGCTAGCTAACGCTCTTTGATCACAGTGTAAGTTAATGAGATTTGTAACGAAAGCAGTCGTAAGAATAAGGCTAGTTTTCTGATTGCAATCTTAATGCTTAGTTTATTTCTTGTTTTCATGTTTCTTTGATCATGACTGAAGTTATTAAATAAATTCATCGAGATTTATTAAGGCTCTCTTTGAAAAATCATGGAATATTTCTTGCTTGATATATTTGTAATTCTCGTGCGAATAGTTTTATATAGAATTGATTTAATAATTTACTTGATTATAGATTTTTTAATGATTTTTTTCATGTTTATTTTTTTACGTTTAGGTGTGAAATAAAAAAAGATAAAAAAAGATCCAAAAAATTGAAGGAAAAACGTAAATCATACAATCGCATTCGCGGACACTTATGTTTACGATCCAACAATATAAATTAATTCCATGTCAAAATGTCCTTTAGTAAGGATCGAAACACAGATCGAAATTCGCTTTAATTAGATTTCCAATTCAGTTCGCCAGCTATTTGCGAACAACATACCTCGTTTCGGGCATTCAATGTCTACTTTGTGCACCGTTAATAAATAGATATGGTCGCCATAGTATATCACTTCACAGACCTCTAACCATTTCCATAACGATATGTATTGATTACAATGCCAGTTTTGCTAAATTAATCGCACTGTTATTGCCACTGTCATTTTCAGCGCTGATAATCACAAAGTATCGATACTAGATATTAAAGGAATATTTTATAGACCAATTTCAATACTTTACAAAGAGTTTATCAAGATTAATCTTAAATTTAGCCACAGCAGAAATTATAATGATCATATCAAATAAAATAGAAACAGAGATTACGGCAGGCTAGTTCTATTATTTTAAATTTCCTACTAACTTAAATTATATCTTTTATATTGCGTACATAAAATGCAATAAATACAAGAAAATCTCTTTCTAAATGTTTCTTAATTTTAATTAAAGAATTAGTTTTTTACGTTGCTTATATTAGCTTTGAATATTCTACGTAACGTGAAAAATCTAATGTTTCTATTTATCGGATACATGCATCCGTTTTATTTATATTCTAATACTTTATTTAAAGAATCCAAAAATTTTTGATATAATTGTTATATAATATATACACATTATTACATGTGATTCAAATAATATTTATTGGAATATAATATCTTAACTGAAAATACAAATCATGATGCACGTGGCGATGTACCGGAAGTATACACCGGAAATGTACAATGCATTATGAGCCTCTCACAACATTGATTAATTAATATCATCAGTAACCTACTTTTGCTAATTGCTGCCAAACGTAATAAATGTACAATCGCTAATTAACACGAATCTGTGGCTTATAATTGTCACGTACCGCAACAAAGCAGGAAACTTTTTAACATTAAATATCGCTCTGATTATCTAGTGCACTTATTATCGAACACTTTACAAAATTGATTCTCTCTGCGGTTGAAAATAAATACATACTCGTAATTCCTTCAAAATTATTGTGATATGAAACATAAGGTCGTTTTTAAAAATCATTAAAAGTTTAGAATGTTAGAGCCGACCTAATTACCAAATCTAAAATTAAATATGTAAAATCCAATTTTGATTATATATTTAATAAAAAAGTACCATTTATTAAATTTAAGTTAAGAAGAAAGAATTGAGATAAAGTATCATTTCCTAAATTAAGGAACTTAGACGACTTTACTTCCAAAGCATTAAAAACTTTTACGAAAGTATTATCCTCATTAAATTTGTATTTTATTATTATATTGTATAATCAATTCATATTTAAGAAAATTAGTAAGTAATGTACATGTACTTTTTCCAATTTAATACATGATAAGATCTCGAAGAATCTTAAATATTAGGTTAAGGAAAAAGTTCAACAAATTAGTAAAAAGACTTTTTTTAGCAACTCATATATTCTATTTTAAAAAATTGGCAATTATATTACTTGATAAAGCAACGTTTTACCTTTAAGAATTTATATTTTTAATTGCGATACGATGATTTTTAACAAAGTTACGAGCAATAAAGTCAGAATGTTTCTTTTTACTTAATCCGCGAGTAATTTAGAAACAAAAAATCGCGAACAAAAAATCAGTAGGAACATTTAAAAAAATTATTTTGTATAGAGAGCTTCAAGCTTTTACGATAGATAGACGAAAATTTGCTCAAGTGTTTTTTTTTGGGCACGCTATACAGTCTTACAAAGTGAAAAGAAAATTTTTTTATTTTTCCAGCTCGTAGTTTTTTTATATGTTAAATGTAAAAATTACAAAACTCACATAAATTCAAAAAATATAAGTAACTATTCGAAAGTAGAGATTTCAAACTTTAAAACCCTTTTTTAAAATTTAAATTTTTTCATTTTTAACGAAAATATTGATGGGGAAAGGTCTTTTTACCAACTTGTAAAGGGACTTTTTCCCTAACTCAATATAAGCGAAGTCCGCTAACGGCGCTAACTACTGATTGGACTCACGTGTGCCATCATCGATGGATAGTGCGGGTAGAGAAGGAAAGCTCCGATGAGGTGAGCGGCCGAGAAAACAATCCCGGCGATGCAGGCGTGTCTGAGTCTGATCGGTAGAAGAGCGTAGGCCATATAGATGAAGAAGCAGACCATTAAGGCAGCAGCGAGAGGACCTCCGGCTCGAAGATCCTTCGATTTCGAGGAGAATGATGTATCGCCGATACTCTCGCGACCCACTTCGTGCAGTCGTGCCAAATGAATGCTCAGAGTCACTTGTAAAGCCAGCAGGGTGACTAGCACTGCACCACTAACGCCCGCCAGCCATATCTCATTCATGCCCGGTCTTGAAATAGCTGCTACCAAAGCTGAAAGGAAATTTCGAATTCCGATTGAGGTAATATTTTTTGCAAAATTATTTAGGTTTTAACATGCCTATCAACATCGAATATTAACATTTTTCTAAGATGCATCAATATTATTGCTTGTTAATTTAATTTGTGATGTTACTATTCTAATTCTGTTAGAATTGCGTTTCAAGATTGATAGTTAAATTCGACGCGCAGGATTGAATATGAGTACATAAATTTGCATCGAATTATTTAAGTTTATTACAAAACATCCAACTTGATCTTTTGAGATTTTTATTTTCTGTTGTGTATTTATATTATGATCTTGAAAGATACTTTGTTTATTGAAAGGAAAGTTGCTCATTACTGATTCTTACGTTTTGAAATGTTCGATGAACACATTTAGAAACGTAGAGCCAGTACGAAATGGCATGAGTGTTCGATATATATTTTAAACTAAAGTGGATGATATTTTAACAGCTTTTTTCGCGATTTCTAGACTATTTTGTCTTTCGTGCGAATATCGAGAGAAAGGTTCATTATTTATATCACAGGCTTTCCAAGTTTTTACATTAAACATTTCTCATAAGTAAGTTTTTACATTAAACATTCTACATAAGTAAGTTTCTTCAGAAAATTCGATTAAAGTTACTAATGCGACGAATTATTTGGTTAAGCTCGTGCTGGTCGAAAAGAAGGTACGAAGGAATAAGCTCTGCGAGTTATTGCGATGCGAAAAGCAGGTCTCATTGCGTGTTCTGACGCTTTCGAAAGGAAACAACACTTGCAGACAATATTCTCATGCATTATTGATACCGAGACCTCGTGAAACATTGAGGCTCAGGGAAAACAGGAATTCTCTACATACATAGACGATAGCATAGAATGCACATCTTTTAGCGTCGTTCGCGACATTTGACTACGGAGCTATTTCGATGCAATTCCAGTAATGTTCAAACTGCATATTTTATGAAAGCTCGAGATTTTTCTGTAAATAAGTTTTTGACGTGATATATATCAACGTTGGACGATTAGAATTTTTTTTCGCAGATATTCCGAGCACTCGAATTTGATTTTTTATGCGATGAAAGGAAACGTAGAAGTTTATCGAAAGTTTATAGAATTCTTTGATATAATTGTAATTTTAGTAAAATTAAATTTATATAACAGAAAAAAATTGTTTGTTTTAGCACAAAAAATAATTTTTTTCTTTAGCAAAATTGCGTCCAATAAGTAATTTTTGCAAGAGAGCAGGTTAAAGTTAACAAATAAGCGCAAAAATTATTTATCGGACGCAATTTTGCTAAAGGAAAAAGTTATTTGTTTTAGCATAAAGTGCATCATGTCCTGCACTCCGAATTCATGAATGATTTCGGATCACCCAATATATATAAATTGCTTTAATTATAAACAGAAATAAACAATTTTTTAAATTGAATTTTTAATTGAAAATAATATTCAAAATAGATTTTAAATTGATTCAAGAAAACGCGAAGTTATAAAGAAAAGCAATATTAAAATTTTTTTAAATTCTGAAATAATATTTTAAGTAAATTCCTTAGACTAGTAGTACAAAGTTACTTTTAGATCTTAAAGCAAATGCAAACTTAATTCTGGCATCTCGGAATCGCTTTAAAAAATGAGCAACTTTGATTGTGAAAAATTAATTTGTGGAGATTGAATCTTACCGGCGTAAATAACGATGCAGGTCACTAGGGTGATTGCGAGGGAAAGATTTTCAGGTCTCTGTAAGAGTGTGATGAGCGACTGATTGCCGGTCAGCATTAACTTCGTGATAAGTAGTAGGCCCAGTGCCAGCGCTAAACCGACCAGTAGACCGAGCACATGTGTCATGTTACTTTGATTCATACGTAGAAAGTAGCGTTGGTACAGCATTTCAACCTGAAACATATGAGCACAGACTTGCCACACATTGTATTAATCAACAATTCGTCTGTAAACTGATAATGTTATATCTCATATATATGCCATACAGGTGAAGAAGTGTATATTAAATTTATAAAATAAGATATTTTTACAAGATAGAAAAATTTTAAAAATATCATTTATTAAAAATAATTTATTGTTGTGTGTGATTATGACATTTTGTAGTAATATTATAATAATACACATCCCGTTTATAATTTCAAATAGATCTTTCTATAATATAATTTTAATAGATTTTAAATTTTATTTTATTTAATATTATTTTATTTAAAAGGACACAAATGATCAATTAAGTTTTTGATAAAAAAAGTTCGTTACATATTGTACAAAAAAATCTTAGATAAAAAAAAATTGTGTGGAATATGGTATACAGAATAAATATTTGACGAAAGCAGTGTGGCTGTCGCGTTAAATTAATAGTTAGTCACTGGGACTGGATAACTAAAATAAAACATTCACTGCACTATCTATATTTATATAGATAGTGCATCTATATAAATATAGATAGTGCAGTGAATGTTTTGATTGTGTAAAATGACAGTTACATGCACAGGTAAATACTAAGTAAAATGTATGTGTTGTACTTCTCGGAATTGCACCACTCGATAAAAAAATATATGTCGCGAAATGCATTGCCAAAGTTAATTGTTACGCCGTTATCAATTGATTGGCGTTTATTTGAATTTGTGCGAATCATTAATGCATCATTACTGTCTTGTTCGCCTTACTAATTGCATTTCACGCTTATTGAAGTGATATATTTATCACGCAATATATAATACATAATGTATATAAATATTATTAACTATTATTTATATTTTGTATAATATATAAATATTTAAATATATAAATTTTTATATTTTTTATATTATATACAATATAATATATAAATAACATATTATCCAGGAACATAATAATATATATATTATATTTATTACACACATAAAAATATATATCCAGATAATACTAAAAGTCCGAAAAGAATTCTCTTTTAATTTCCGATTTATAAAATGAAATTCCTGTTTCATTCCAGTTCTGTTTTAAATTATTTCTGAGAGTCCTAAAAGATTTCATTTTTATGTCATCAGTTGTGAGCTTTTTTAGATACAAAAGATTTTCTAATCGTTTTTTATTTCTTAATTTTGTATAAGATTAAATCATACTTTGGTTTTTATGTAAATTAAATATTTATACATTTGTACATGCATATAAATATATTTGTACAATATATATTTTTTAATACTTTTTTAGTTCATTTCGAACGGATTACGTTAATTCATAAAGAACTGTAGTGATATGTTCAAAACTTTGTTACTTTTGAACAAATCAATGAAATCTAATAATTATAAATGGAAAATAAAGTTTAAGATTTATATTTTATTAAAAAAATATATACCAACACACTTTTTTAATTTAATTACTTAAGTTTAGGATATGAAGTACAATCTACAATTATAAAAATAAGCGATAACATGAAAAATTGACATTTAACTTTAAAAAATTAATTTTTTGTTCAAAGTCTACAATCTCATGCACTTTTGTAAATAAAAAAATATATACGGAATGACATTTAGAAGAGAACGAAGAAATTGTAACAGCTGTTCTGCCGAGCGCGCGCGATTTGCTCTTTTGATTATAATTTTTAATCATACCCAGGGTCCCAGAAATTTGCTAAATCAAGATTTTTTTACACTTTTCTTTTTCTTTAAATCTATATATTCTGAAGTTTCTTAATTTTATCGACTTTTATACATTATGGACTTGTTCCTTAATCAATTTTCCATCGATTGAAAAAAAATTAATTGAAATATGTCTATTTTTACAGAAGAGAGTTACGGTAACAAATATAGATGGGGGCAGAGTGTGTAGATATATCAAGGGTAGAAAAAAAGAGTATGTAGGTATATTAAGGGTAGAAAAAAGTGTGTATAGCTAGGATTAATGGGCAATAATTGTGTCTTTAAGGACGTTTGAATTAGAATGTATTTTGTGTCACGTTTAAAATTTTAATTTATCGTAACTTTTTGAGATTGAACATAGAAAAAATATGGACGTAAAAAAGAATGGATCAGATATGTAAGATATATTTAGTGCAGATAGATGAATTGTGTAATGAGTTACGAAATAAGGTAGGAAAACCCGCGTATAGTAATAATCCGTTCATCGAAAATATTTAAAGTACAACTAGATAACAAATAGATTATTCAGAATTTAAAGATCCGTTAAATATGACGTAGTAAGACTGTTCGATACATAGCCTTGATCTTTGTTTTTGTACGGCGTACGGTGCTTTGTTTACGCGCGGTCGGTGTATTATCATTTTACTTCCGATACTTGAGCGGGTAGGTGCGCGATGTGTGTTCTATAAATCTTCGTATTTTTCCAAAACGCAATTATGACAAGTTTTAGATAATACGAGAGTGTCGTTAACCTTACGATTATTCTGAGTTCGCGTGCAAGCCTGAAAATTAATTAATGAAATTCTTGTGTGAAAGCAACAATTTTGATAAATTAAGAGGAGAAAAATATCCTCACGGATAAGGAGGAGGAGGAGACATAGGGCGGTATTCATAATCGATTCTTATATTCAAGACCATGTTAAGTACAATCTTAAGATATCACGAACCATTCAGAGGATCGTGTATCAGCATCTTAAGACATTACTTAAGATGATCTTGAAATAAGAACGGATTATGAATAGCAACCTTTTAAAACAGACATCGAGAGACGATGAAGTGATCAACTTTGAAGTGAGTGAAATGTTACCTTTTATTTTGAAATACGAATATTTGAAAATTGTATTATAGACTGTGTGTTATCATCAGATAGATAGATATAGATTTATACAATACATGTACGTATCAAATTACGACAAAAAGTATTACAGATAGATATAATGTTTCATAAATCCGACGCTTTACAGTGGATAGAATAAAGGAAATTGTTTGATTTCTCATTATTTGTTAATTTATATTGTATTATTGTACTTGAAAATACACATGAAAAGCTTATATTATAAAGTTTATTAACATACTGATTGTGAATTATTATTAGATTTTTCATTTACCTATATATATCTTTTTATTTTTATTTATACATATCTCAAAAAATAGGTTGCGATATGTAGTTACTTTAAATTTATAGAATAACCTCGTAAAAATATAATAATTTTGCATTTTTTAGTATCAAAAATATTATTTCATAAAATTGTATTAGATGATTAAATTTTCGAATTTTATTATGTTAGATTAATGTAATAACATAAATGAATTAAAACAAATCGAAGTAGATTAAGTTGATATGTTTTTAAGTTAAAACTTTTATCTGATATTTTATTGTTCATTGACAACAAAAATTGGGACAATATATTTGTATATTATTCGTATATTATATTTATGCAATACAAATTATTTATATACAGGGAAAAAGTAAAAAAGCATTATATATATGTTATGTATATAATAAATTCTTTTGATATACATAGAAATATAAGTATAAATAAAAAAAGAACATAAAATATTTTAGTTGTATGATATATATAATTTACTTATCAAAAATATGCTAAGGATTGTCAATCTGTTTTTATAAAGTACTGTATTTTGTAGTCTATTCATTTCTTAATTGATTTTATATAAATTAAAACAATATGATGTGTGTGTTGAGATCTCCATTAAATATTTTATAACAAAATACAATAGAATTTTTAAATATTTTGATGAGTTTTATATGTATTCGATCAAAAAATAAATTTTTAGACAACATATTTTTAATGCGATTTTAAATAATTTTTTGAAATGTAATCAGTAGATGCAATATTAATGAGACATATATATTGATATACAAATTAATACAGATACGTAATGCAATAAAATGAAAAAAAATCATAATAATAGAAAATTAACGCTAATTGTATAAAGAGAATATTATTATCGAAGTTATTACTTTTAGATTTAATCTCATTTAGTTTAAATTTCTTATCCGATATGTTTCGATGTGAGAGTTATTTATTAAATACGAGTAACGATTGCGAATAAGAATTTCAATTCTCTTGCTCGCAGTTTGATTTATAGTATACATTCTTTATACATATGTTTTTAATTTCAAGTGCATTTGCTATAAAATTCAATTCCTGATAATTTGCAATATACATCGAGTCTTGAGAAAAAAAAATTAATATAAAATTTTTCTTTTCCTTGAGAGAGAGAGTATAACTTAATTACTTTATACGATAATCACGAGTTATAAAGACACGAGACGTTATTTAATAAATACTCTCGTAATATAATTTATATGATTCGTTTGATCAAAATATTTAATAAATATTTTGTATAATTAATGCAATTTATGCAATTAGCATTATTTTAAATAATTTCTTGTTGTCATGCATTTTTCTCGATATAATCTACACTATAAAATCAATCGTAATTTTGCAATTGTCTGCCGGTAGACAATTGCAAAATTACGATTAGTACACAAATTACGATAGTAACACAAGACAGTAATATAAATATTTTTCTTCTTAATAATCTCTGTCTATCCAACAGAATTGAAAGTCCTATTATGGGTTTTATAATCGTGAAATACCGCAGTGTCGCGCGAAAGAGACTTATTATAATAATTAGTCCACGCGCGATTATAGTATATTATCCGCGAGTGTTTTTCGCGAGTGTCCTGTGCGAGAGGATGACAATCCAATTCTGAGAGGATGAGGAGATCTGGGAGAGGCATCGGACATCGGCGGAGCAACCTTGGGGTGAGTATCACTTTTTATTTGTATAAAATTAATTTTTTTCCTGTTATTTTTGAGAATCATTTTAATTATTTTATAATGATTTGAAAGTATGGAAAGTAATGAATAGAAAAAAGTAATTTAAAATTTAATAAATATGTTTTTTTTAAAGATATTTCAGAAAATTTATAATTATTTTCATAAATGTCTATAATTAACTGGTAAT